TTTAGTGTGGTTGATACAATACCCTTTTCTGTGGTTGGAACATAGGTACATCATTTGATTATACTGTACAGCAGTTGCCTTTTTTTTTTTCAGGTAGGCTTACTGCCATCAAATAAATGTCAATTTATTTTTATTATACATTGTACATCTAATTTATACCAACTCAATTGGGGGAGCGGTGGCTGCATGGTTAAGCGCTTGGCTTCCGAACCTGGGGTCCTGGGTTCGAATCTCGGTGAAGACTGGGATTTTTAATTTTGGGATTTTGAGTGGACCCCTAAATCCATCCAACTTTTATGAGTACCTGACTTTAGTTGGGGAAAGTAAAGTCGGTTGGTTGTTGTGCTGGCCACATGACACCCTGCTCATTAACTGTTGATCAAGGAAACAGATGACCTTAACATTAGACCTCAGGAAAAACTGAAGAGCTGTCCCCATTTAATATTGCATTTGACTTTCTTAGAAACCTGAAATCAGTTGGCCCAAGCTGGCAAGAGACAGTGTCACCAATGTCTGTGGAAAAAGCTTACCACCCTATGCACTGAACGATACATGAGGTTCTAAGTCTAAGACTATGATCATGATTTGAGATAAAAAAATTTAGTAGTTTTAATAGTATTTCTATGTTCATCGCAAATTTCTTTTTTTTTTTCCTTAATGTAAACACTCTTATAAATGTGAATTATCAGAGTTAAGACTATTGAATCCTACATTGCGCAGACTAAACAGCCTTGTTATTTGTTACATTATCAGCATCCATTTTACTTGCCATCTCTTTCTTTTAGATCTTATTCTCACACTGCCCTTTGACCTCTTCATAAATGTTCGCTATTTATTGATGGGAAACAAACTGGGTTGTTTTTTTTAAACATATTTTTAGATAACTTGTTTCAAGCTCATCCGGTGCTTGTGCCTGTTGATATATTATGAACATATAGAGGTAATTATACTTATTATTAATTTTGAAAAAAATATTGATAATTTGATTTGAATACGTTTTTTTATTTAATTTTTACCTGTTAGACTATTTTTTTTAATAGTCAAATAGAAAAATTGCCCAAATACATTTAAAGGGAGACAATTTATATTTATTGTAAGACTAATCAAAAGATTAGTTAAAACAAACAAAACTGAAGCCATTAAAAGATGTGCTTAAGGCTTCTTTGCTGCTTTTATTCAACATCTGCAATACTCTTAGTTCAATGATAGCTATAACGTAAGCTATGTTGCTGGCTTAAATTAGCCATGTCCAATAGTTACATCTAATAGTACACATATCTTTCTATTGATATTTGTATAGGGATGTTTTTCGGTTTGCAATATTGAAGAACAAAACTATAAGCAGTTTTATTTTTGATTAATACTGTTGTCTTTTTTTTTTAATTGATAAATTTCAGAGGATATAATTTAAAAAAAAAAACTACTTTTAGAGCATATTTATTCTTTGTTTGAGCATTGCTTTCACATTGTCTGACTAAATTTAGAAAGAAAATTTTGTTCTATACATCTGTCATCTTGTTTAATTCTAAATGCTTGCTATAGAAGTAAGTGAAATCATTTTATTTCTGAGTTCATTGTACTGGTAGTATTAAATAATAATAATAATTTAAGGCTTTCTTTGAGTCAAAAGATTAATAAGGAATCCAGCATTTCTCATGGCTATGCAGCCCAAGCTGAGACCTACATATTTTACCACAACCATCGCAGATATAGCCATTTACCGCCAGTGGTCAATTTACATTTTCTTATTGCCATCTATGTCTGTTCTCTTTTGGCCTCATTTGTATATTCCCCAGCCTTTGTAAGTGAACTCCAGCTGTCATATTCAGAAGTAGCCTGCAGCCAGTTGCTCTCTTCTATGTCAGTTAAAGCAAGTTTGTTTCTAAGCTGGTAAGATTATGTAAAATATCAAGAAATGAAACTCTGTTTTTGTCAAAATAAGTTAATAGGCAATGTAAGGAAGTGAAACTATTTTAATTTGAAAATAATGTTTACATTTCCATCTAAAACCCTTAGATAATTTTGTTTAATGTGAATGTAATCACAGAAATATTCCATGAGAGCAAATGGTACTTGAATTGCATCCCAATATGTAATAAATAAATTTTGTACAAATTATAATATACTCTTTAAAAAAAGAAATCCATTATTTTCATTAATTTAATAAAAACTGAGAATTTAGTGTCCAATCTACAAAGCCTGATTTTACACAAAGTTTACCAAAAAAAATTCTTTTCAATAATGTATATAGACCTACATGTACTCAGGAGCTGTTGTAGATTTGTGACTTCAAGCCTCTGTCAACCACCATTTCACTCTATCCACATTAAAATTAAAACACAATACCTTGTATAGCTCCAAGACCTCCAAGAATATTCTATCTCAAAAAAGAAACCTTTTTCAAATCCTTTTCTTGTAAAAAGTATAAATAAGTAGGCTTAGAAAAAAACAATTTCACAGTTGCCATAATTTGTATGTATTGAAATTTTGGGCCCATGCTCAATAGTATACCATCCATTGAAGTATATAAGTTGGAGATCAAGTGCCTTTAATATAAGTTCATTATTTGTTAAATTATTGGTTTGACAAGTATGCATTTTGTTAATGTTATAATTTTTTTTTTTTTTCACCAGCTCATCATATTTTGTTTTTGAACACATAAAATTATATGCACTTGGAGGTTTTTTTAATGTTTTGTTTATATGTGTGCTGTAAATATAATAATGTTTTGATAATTTATTAACTTGTTGTTTCTTTTAGACTTGTTAAAACCCTATTTGTTATATGTGATTTTTTTTACATCAGTTGACTACAGGGGGCCCTACAGAATGGTATGTAAACATTATGTAGTCTAATTTGTAAAGTTATGAAGAGAAATAAATTTAGAATGGGTTTTAGTAGTTAAATACAATTTCAAAAACAGGCGCTTTAGCAGTGGAAGTTCTTCTTAGAAGCTTCGTTACAGAGAAGTCTGAAATTTTTAACCTGTCAAAATTACTTCTAACTTATTAAACTATTGCTGTTCAATTACATTTTATCACTATTTCACTTGTAAGCTACCATAAATATTTAAATATTTTGTATTAATTATTTTCTTTTTTTAAGATATGTCTGTAATATATATATATTTATATTAGATAGAGAGTCTCCAAATTTAAAGAACAAAAATTAATTGAATTACAAAAAAAGCAATTATTTTCCTTTTAAGTTAGTTAAAATTATTTAGTTCTGAATACTAGTATATCTTGTATAACTATTTAATTCTTAGTATGAAAATATAGTTATAATTATTGCACATTATAAGGTGCTATTGTCAAAAGAGAATGTCCTGTTCATTCACTGATTTATTATATATCGTCAGCAGCCATCACTACAGTTTCAATCTCTTCATCTTATTCCCACTGAATGCCTTTACTCTGGAATCTCTCCCTTTGCTGTGTTCTCCACTCTTGTGATTATAAACTTTATCAAAAGTGTACAGAAAAAAAACAACTCTTTAACCACATTATGTAATATATATTCTATCTTCAGGTAATTTTATTTTCTTGCATGTATTACACTTATGATATTTCTGTGTAATATTTTCTTTTTCTAGACTAGTCTGCCTTTTATTTGTCTGTGATTGCCTTGGCATTTTTTAACAGTATATTTTAATGATACTAAGTGTAAAACTGACCTATAAAATTTGTAACTGGCTTCAGGTTTCTTTCTTCACAATAAAGATATATTTTTTTTATATATATGTGCTAAGTTGTAAATTTTCATTTTGATGATTCACTCTACTAAAATCTCATAATGTATTGTCTTTATGAAGTTCCTTTGTTTTTAGTTAATAGTTTAGTATAAGTGAATTTTTTAATAATGTTTTCTTTGTGCTTTGATCTGTGTCCTTGCAATAGCTCAGTTAGTCCTTTTTTTTTTAAAATTAGATATGTATCAACCTCTTTTTTTTTTTAGCTAGATGTGCTGTTAAGATCATCATTATTTATATTGACTATTTACTTGGACACTTTGTGTAACATTAGAGAGTTATTATTTATTCTGCTTTTGTTGTTGTTTTATAATATATTGCTTCAATGTCTCATTTGTTAATTTTTTTTTATATGACAACCTTTTGTTTGTTACATTCATGAATTGTTATTTGTTCCTGTCTGTCTAATCTAAGTATACAGTTGTAGTTTTGTACGACCTACATGGATAAACAAAAAAAAAATGTGTAAATAGCCTATTGCCCTACGTATACAAGTAAATAACAAAATGAATTACTTCCCTTAGTTAAATCAACATTCTTTTTGATGGCCTTCTTATTGGCCTTATAATTACTGGATTTGCTTCGAACGTATTGCTTTGAAACTGCTCTCTTATTTAAGAGGAGACTTTGGGATAAAACCATATTTCTTTTTTAATCCCAACCTCGGGAAAACCCTTTGTTTTTAGCCATTTATAACAAACATAGTGCTTATCACCACATGAAATATATCTACAGGATCACCCATAAGAAAACCTAAGCTTAATAATGAAACTTGTTTATTCATTTAAAATGTTGACCTACTATTAACACTGATTGTGTCAATAATGCCATTATTATAAGTTTTGATTAAATATAGTTTCAAGGTTTTATTCATGTATATATAAGTATATGCTTACTTATGCTAGATAATCTGTAGGTCTATATTGATGCTTGCATTTAGCCTAGAGGTAATAAGCAGTTTTAGCCTCCTGCTATGGATATTAAAGATTTTTGTTTGGTGTGTAAGAGATTAGGACAGTTTATTTCTTACTAAGATATAATATACAGGATACATAAGAATTGATACAACATTTCAACAATACAGTTCTTTTTTATAATGTTTACCCATAAACATTTGTTCACATTAAAAATGGACAAATTAAATTCAGTGGTTGCAATAAGTTTTAATCCATGGAACTCTTGTTAAAGCAAGGTCCTGTGTTACCCTTATGCAAGTTTTAAAGAAATCAATAGTATTCAAGCGCCACACGCAACCGATTGCCAATCATGAAACATATGATTGGACCATTATAATTGAAACATACTTTATAATGGTCAAGTACGTTCTGAATAAATAACAATGATCTTGAAAAATTTTTCTCCACTTTAGTTTTTTTCCCCTCATGCTAAATAACATACTAAAAAAATCCAGACACATTTAGTTTAGTTATTACTTGGAGTGGAAATAGTCACATTGTATATCTGACTATAAAGTTATGGGGATTTGCATAAGTACCTTTGTAACTTATATTAATGTGTTTGATGTTATTTTTTTTTATAATTGCAACAGTAAACTTTTACACACTTTGAGGCCTACATTTCACAAACCACAACAAAATCATTTCATTACATTTCTGGTACTTCAGTGTATTTCAAAAGGACAACTTTTGATTCATATAAGCATAACTTGACAAAAAAATCAAGAAAGACAAAATAAAAACAACACATTTATTATTTTGTATGCTGGGATGAGTATTTTGAAACCTTTTTGTCAGTACCAATCAAATATGTGATAGGTCGACTAATATTCTGTGGTAAATTTCTGATGAACTTAAACTACAAGATAAATGCACGAATAATATGTGATGCATGCATTGCCTTTTTAAAAGATATAAAATTTGTAATATATTAGTTGTGATTATTTGAAAAAAAAAAAAAAAAAAAAAAAAAAAAAAAAAAGATACTAGGTAATTATAGAAGTGATGTCACAAAAATTATTTTTTTTTTAGCTTCTTTGTTACTTTCTATTTAGACAATATCAAGGGATCTAAAGTTGAGAATAGGGGCATCACTTTATTTCCTCCTTACAAACCCACTTGTACCCTTTGAACATTCCATTCAAATTGACCACTTCTGATATGTAAGCATAATATATAGAGCGTATGATCTGAGTGAGCTGTGATGTGTTCAAGTGATCACTTTTGTTTTTGGTCCTGTTACTTCTCTTTTGTTCAGCAAGTTTGCTGCAGAGTGTAATGTGCGTAGTACAGTGTGAATATACATAGATCTGTGTGGCTCAGCAGCAACTACTGTTTTAACTTTCAGAACATCAGTTGTGATTTTATTTGAGAGTAAATAAAAGTATTTTAAAAAATGTTTGTGTAATTATTTTCTTTTTTTGTGATGCAGATTTTAAGTCAGTTTTTGACATTTTGGTAATTTTTTTTTTCTGTTCTTAAAATTCATATTCATATTTTTTGGGTACAAGAAATAAATGCTTAAAGTTTCAACTTGATTCTGAGAATGGATGTAGGAGAAATAATGTGACCAATTATCCAAAGGGACAACTCACATATTTAGCCAATCTCTAAATATTGAAGGATTTGTTTCCCTTGTTGGAATCAAAGAAAATAATTGATTACCAATAATTTATTCACTAATTTGTTTATTTTTATTTAATTGATTCATTTTTTTTTGTTTGGTATGATAAATAATCATGTAAAGTTTCAACTTGATCTGATAATGAGTGTGGGAGAAATTTAACCTTTGCAAAATCTCTATTGGACAGACAGAATGAGTTAATATAAGTCTCGTAACTAGTACAAATATTATGGTGGTTCGTTTTAACTGAATTTGGTTGAATTTTCTTATATAATACAAGTCTAAAAATAAATTATTTATACTCTTTTAGTTAGGCTAACTAACCAAGAGAAAAAGAGAGTGCTCTTAGGGAAGATATCAGAAAGAGAAAGAAGAAATTGGAAAAATTTAGAAAGAGAGAAAAAAGTCTGACAGAAAGAAAAAGAGTGAAAACTAAAAAGAACCAATTTTATATAGAGGGGAGATAAGTAGTTTTTCAACTTTCTTAACGCATCAATAAGGATGTTATTCGTCTCAGCCTAAAGAATTTCCTGTAAATATATACAATTATTATCCCTCTTTAATTTTCTTCAAGACCTGTCCAATAAAACTGATGTCACGCATCATCTACTTTCTATTTGTGGCATATCATTCTCGTGCCTAGCCAAAGAACAGGAACTCTTGCTGCAAGTCTTTGATGGCGAGAGCTGGGCTCAATAAAAATCTATACAATGATGTCTGTGTACCTGAGTTTCAATGTATGTCTGTAACTTATGACTTCAAATAGCATTTGAAGAGAATTCTAAATTCTGAGGAGTTTATGGATAGAAGGGAGAGAACTATTATATACAATTTAAAAAAAAAAGAATACGTCTGCCAACAAAGATGGTTTCTGCAGGATGAAACAGTTGAACGATTTATATTTATCGCGTGAGATAATTTTCATAGCAGAAATGGTTCAGCGATTCTAATGTAAAAGTTCAGAAAATATAACGAATTATTTTGTTTATAAATATTAAATTCGTTGCTCTTAATATTTAAAATTATTTTGAGAATGTTATTATATAGGTCGATTTTATTAGACTAAATACATACAATTATTTACATTTACAGTTGACTTAATGTGCATTAGAACTTGCGAGTCTAAAATGTCCGAAATATCGATGGGGTATTGATTAATGAAGCGTAATGCGTTTATCTCATTGAGGATCTCTTCCCGCGGATATAAGTCTCTTTGACAAAGGTTTTTCAGCAGACGACTTCATTTGTTGGTTAGGTGGCAGTAGTAAGCTTAATAGTAGTCGTGCTAAGTCGGCATCTAATTGACTATGATGCGCTTGATAATCATTATTACTATCTCTCTTAAGCCCAATCCGTAAATGCATTTCACTTTAATTGAAAATCAAAATATTAGATTTACATAATCAAATAAAACTGAATCCAGAACTGTGAATTATGAACAGCGTGACTGTGTGTAATGAGCGCCTTGATTCCAGGAGCTTTTGAAGGTAAAACAAGAAGATTTTGTTTTCAAGGTAAATATTTACATTGATAAATCTTATTTCAATGACTAGAACTTTTTACCGTAGGCCTAGATTTACAAGACAATGCTTCTTTATTTAGATGAATCAGTACCCTACATTGAGTACATTGTAGGACTAGATGTAAAGACAAAATTACAAAATAAGTCTTTTGATTTTTACAATTACTCTTATCAGCTTGCAAATTCTTCATGGTTAAAAAAAAAAAAAGGTGGGTGGATACAGGAAACGGATCTCAAAATTGGCTCTAACGATTTTCCTAGACGTTTGACAGGCCTACGTTTTGGGCAAAATATTACTAGCTGACTGGTCACACAAGCAAAAGTTTGATTTAACCGTTATGATTTTTTTTAAACATCCTTTTTAGCGGCCCCCGAAAGGGGAATAGACGTTATTAGTTTTGCCTGGTCCGTCCGTCCCATTTAGGTCTCAGAAATTAACACATTTTTAGGTTACTTGTTACCAACTTAATGTCAGGCCTATTCATTTGTTTTAAAGTTAACAGGATGTATACTTTAATACTTTATTAGTGATTGAACTTCATTTGTTTTTAATGCAGCTAAGACATTGCTTTATTTGTTTACAGAATCACAACTTATAATTTTAACTTCATCTCACTAATGGCTAACTATACCAACGAGACAGGTCGCCACCCTTCGCTGTAAGTAAAAAAAAACTTGATCCTTAATTTTGTTTGTTAGTCTAATTATAAATATGATGTTGGCATAGTATGTTACAGGTCGTTCTATTCTAATAGAAAGAAAAAAATAACTTTCAAAAAAGAAAACGTAAAAAAATGTTTATCCAAGGGAAAGAATTCTACATTTAACACTTTACTTCTCAATAATATATAATTTATTTACCTTTTACGATATGAAACAAAATAATTAATTATTTAAAAAATAATTAAAAAAACCAAAGTACATCCAAGGGGAAGAACGCCACATTTGCAACTATATATCTCAATAATACTTTTTTTTCGCTTTTTCGATATCAAACATAATAATTAATTACTAATTATTAATTAGGTAATTGGTTAATTTCTGGCGCCCCCGAAAGTGGAAAAGACTCTATTAGTGTTGTGTGGAATGTCTGTCCGTTCTTCCCGTTTAGATCTCGTTAACTAGAAAAGATAGTGTAAATCCGAGATCACAATATTTTAGGTCATTCAAAGCTATGATGCAACGGCTACTTTTTTGTTTTCAGAAAGCGAAAAATTGAATTTTTAAAATCAATTATGCCAGCAGTTTTTTCATAAAAATACACCACTTTTACAACTATTCACTATTAATAGTAACAAGCACTTAGTAGGGGTGATGGAAATATACCAAATCTACAACACCTTTATGCAAACGGTTTTAGATTTTTTGTCAATTTTTTTTTTTTACATTTGTATTGCTAAGTTAATTTAAGTAAGTTCTGTTATATTAACTACACATTTCCACACTTTTTTTAAGAGAAAAAAATCTATTTAGTATGCATATAAGTCGGACATAATTTAAAACAACAATTAATAAGTACTTACTCATATTATAGCGTGAACTGCGGATATGTCCTACAATGCAATACAACGAAATAAAGGACATTCCTTTTATTTTTTTTCGGAAATGTTTTTTTCTTGAGAAATAAAAGATCGTCCCTTTACAAAACAATTAGAGCAATTATGTATTCATTATAAGACATCAGTTAGGCCAGGTTCACATCTAACTTCACATTCACTTTCACATATCCTTTGGTCTGTGGACCACACAAGATCCGTCAACCTTCTTTCTCCAGTCTTCTCTGTCATTTGTCTTTGATAGAATTTCATTCTGATGTTCTTAATGAAAATATTGAAACCTGCCTTTCTACCTGCCTAGGTGGAACAATTCGGGGGCGAATTCGCATTTTTTAAAAAAATAAATTGATTCATGTTTTGTTGGGTGCGATAAATAATAGTGTAGTTTAAACTTCATATCATAATAAGTATGGGAGAAATACCGTGCTCAAAATTTCTACCAGACAAGAGTGAGATGATATACGCTCTGTGATCCTTCTTCATCTTCCTCGTTCTCATTGTTATGTTGGAGTGTTCAGATGACTAGACCAATAAATGAGATAAACTGTTGGAGTGTTCAAATGACTAGATCGATAAATGAGATGAACTGCGCAGGGAGCTCTCCATATAGTTTTCCAATTAATGGGGTGTTTTGGGGCCAGTGTACTTTACGGGCCTCTTGGTAAAGAGAACAGTTTTGAAGGACATGGTTAGCATTCTTCGGTGACACTCCACATGGGCGGATTTCAGTGGTTCCAATTGTGAGCTTCCGGTACGTATGTTTTGTCATTCTGTAGTGTTCGGTCCTGAGTCGAAAGTTTAGACATTGATCTTATTAGGATGGCTTATAAAAGGCATCATCTTTCTTGTGATTCGGATGAGAGCTTGTCAATTTCTCATTTATTTTTTTCACTATTAGTTTCTTCATTTCTTCTGGATAGAGTACAATGTTGAATTGTGTCTTTGTTCTCCCCCACTGGGCGAGTGTGTCAGACTTCTCATTGCCTTCGAGTTGTATATGAGCTAGTATCCATTGAATGACGTTTTTTGTTCTTTTGTTGTTTTTTTTGTTGAGCTTTGTAAGTGCTGTCGTTTTATATAGGAGGAATCAGAGTTTTGGAAGCTTTGGAAGATTGTTTTGTTTGTTAGACTGGCAGTTTGGTTGTATGATGTGCTTAGAAGATTTGCTAGCAAGTAGCAGCTAGTTCTAGTTGTTGTTTCTTTTTAGGTTTACAGATTCCTGTATAAAATTTTTCCATTTTGAGACTGTTTTAGTACCAGCTTTGTGGATTTTGGTTTTGAGTGGGTGCCTCTCCAAGGTTTCCAATTTAGTGAATTGGGAATGGATTTTTATTTTTCTTCTTTCATCCAGAGAGACTAGGGCAGCGGTTTCCTCCATAGCTCAACTGGGTGTTGTTTTGATTGCTCCTGTCATCATCCTTAGACCAATGTTTTGAACCTTGTCTATTTTTCTTAGGTTGGTTTGGGCTGCTGAGCCCCATGCTGTGGCATCAAATTCTAGTACAGGTCTTACGTAACTGGTATAGGACTTTTTCAGGTTGTTATGATTAGCTCCCCAATCTGTGCCAGCTAATTTTTTCATAAAAGATAGTCTCTGGATGCCTTTACTCTGTGTTTTATTTATTTGTTTTTTCCAGGTTAGTCTCGGGTCATAGGTAACTCCAAGGTATGTAGGGCTGTCATTTTTTTCTAAAGC